GTTCTCGAGAGATTCAATATGCAAACGTGCAAGCCTGTAAGTACACCATTAGCTCCTCATTTTTAAACTTTCAGAGTCACAAATGCCTCAGTCCGAGGATGAGGTGGAACATATGTCAAAGATTCCTTATGCCAGTACAGTTGGTAGTATTATGTATGTCATGGTATGCACACGTCCAGATATTGCTCAATCTGTAAGTGTGGTAAGTAGATACATGTCCAACCCAGGAAAGAGGCATTGGGAAGCTATCAAGTGGATATTGAGATATCTCAAATGAGCTTCTGGTGTTGGTCTTACCTTTTGAAAAAATGGTACAGGTATTTCAATTCTCGGTTATGCGGATTCTGACTATGCAGGAGATCTTGACAGAAGAAGGTCCACAACTGGATACATCTTTACCCTCGTTGGCAGTGCTGTCAGTTGGAAGTCGACTCTGCAGTCGATTGTCGCTTTGTCTACGACAGAAGCAGAATACATGGCAGCAGCGAAGGCGGTAAAGGAAGCTTTTTGGTTGAAAAGTTTAGTAGCGGAATTGAGTTTGGTTTAGCTGGAATCAACTCTTAGATGTGATAGTCAGAGTGCTATTCATCTAATGAAAAATCAGAGGTTTCATGAGCGCACTAAACACATTGATATCAGATTTCATTTTATTCGAGATGTTATTGATGAGGGAACTATCAAGGTCGTGAAGGTTATCACAGACAATAATGTTGCAGACATGTTGACCAAGATAGTCCCGCTCGCTAAGTTTGCACACTGCAAGGACTTGGCGGGGGTGTGCATCAACTGATGCAACTCCGAAGAGAACAGTTGCTAGGTGGAGATGGTATGTTCATCAATGGTTTGATTCTTCTTGTTTCTTACAACGGGGTTGCCCAGTAAGCTTAGAAGTTTTGGCCAGAGTTGTTCACACGCTCGAAACGCAAACCAAGGTGGAGATTGAAAATGTTGGTTTATGTTTAGTTAACAATGGCATGCTGAAAATGTTGGTTTATGTTTAGTCAACAATGGCATGCCAATTGGAAGAGTTGGTGGAAAGAGTTGGTGTGGATGCTAGGAGGAAGCTTCCTCCTTTAATGTCACCCATGACATCAAGAGGAGGTAGTTTGATGTCACCAATGACTATCAAGAGGAGGTATTTACCTCTATAAATAGATGCACTCCTTCACTTGTAGAGATCATCCCAAAAATAATACAACACATTGTAGTGAGTAGAGAGTTAAGAGAGAAATTCTCTTAAGTGTAATTGGGAATTCTCCCCTTCCTTTGTTAATATTAAAAAAATAACTGTTCTCTGGTGGACGTAGGATTATTTTGATCCGAACCACGTTAAATCTTGTGTTCTTTCTTTTACATTTCCGCTAACAATACCCAACAATAATTAAATTATTAAAAATCACGAAGAATAATATTCAACTATTTCACAACCCCAAAATACTAGTTATGACCTTCTGCACCTATTTCTTAAATTTCAACATTCTTGCTATTGTTGTTACTTCTTATTTGCAAATGAAAAAAAAAACTTGTGGGATTCAAGTCAGGGGCGGAGCTAGGATTCGGAGTGTGTGAGTTCTAAAATTTAAAATAAGACTGATCTAAAACTAATATACAATATCAAACTGACTAAAGAATGAGTATCGATATTTAATATATATTTAAAAAGTAACGAAAGACAAACACAATATACGAATATAAACATTATCATTTCAATTGCACTCGACGAGTTGTCATGTTTTGAAAACGATCAATGATCGCATCATTAGATACACTTTCAAATACTTCATCCTCTATAAAACAAACTAAACAATCATTCAAAAAGTCATCACCAATCCTGTTTCGAAAATCATTTTTAATAAACTTCATTGAAGAAAAAGCTCTTTCAACCGTTGCAGTAGCCACAAGTAATATCAAACTCAGCTTCACAAGCAAATAAACAAGTCCCCATGTCTTGTGAATATTTGTTTTAACCAATGTCTTTGACAGATCACCAAGCCCTTTCAAGTTAGAGAATGCATTGTTCATTTCTCGCACATAGTCAATATAGTTGTCAAGCTCATAACTAAGATCTTCAAGCTTAGAAGCAATGAACTCATTTGGATAATATGTAGCAAGTTTCATAATCTTGTTTTTATCATAATTCACAAAGAATCATCGGGACTCAAACTAGTCATACCAAGAAGCAGGGAAGTATTCATTTCACTAAAACGATTGTTAAGCTCCGAAAGTTGCAAATCAATAGCAGCACAAAAAACCTCTACGAGGTTGACAATAGCATTATTCCCCCAAAATCTCTTTTTGGAAAGACAAAACCACGAGGTTGACAAGCTCCATTTTGTATATAATTTCTCCTTACACGGTCACGTAAATTAGGAGGATATTCTGAAATTGGTTTTCTTTTAGCAGGATCGGGCTCATAATCCCATCCTTTATCCGATGCTTGGGAGGGATTAATATTGTTATTAATAATTGGTTCAAAGGAGAGCTACAAGAATCTGCAGAAGCTTGAGCTTTGTAAAAACTCGTGATCATATCGACTTTTGCTAGAAAAACCTAAAAATGGCAAAACACAAATTCACTTTAGTCCTAAAATAAAATCCAGTTAGATTCCGAAATGTTGGCTTATAAAATTATTAATAACTTTAGTCCTAAAATAAAATTCCTTCCAGCGAACCCACATCCCTATTTTCAAGTAAATAATCCTATTTTCATCAATGCATAACAGCATAAGAGCAACTAATTGATATAAATTGGATTCTCGGTAAAAATTAAAGATTAAAAATCAAATTTTGCATAAATTATTAATCATTCAATAAGGTAAAAATTAAAGATTAAGACAGTGATGAAGCAATAAGGCAAATGAAAGAGAATATCGGAATCGGAGTTGTACTTACACGATCGGCAGCGAAAGTCGGCAGAGAAGAAGATACGTCGGCGTCAAGGTACGCCGGAGAATTCAGGCCATTTCGGTTTGAATTCCTACTGACAGAGAGAAAGAGGAAAGTGAAAGTGGAACGAAGAGTAGTATTGATTATAGCTACTATTATCCGACAGAGACCAATCACACAGCGCACAAGGCACAATAAAGTGCTTTCTACTACCTCTTTGCTTTATGTAATAGTGCAGTCTTTTTCCTTTTAGATACAACAAATCTGTTGAAAGGAAAGTAAAGAAAATGTTTTGTTTTGTGAAAAAAATATTAAAAAAAACGAAATAACATACTGCTTTAAAGGGAAATATCTTTTTCCGGTGAACCCACAACCTTTACTATTGAACCCAAACTTCTTATGTTACTGGGTTTAGCATAATATATTTATATAGATATGATAAATTTTTAAATACAAATACAGAGTTTCGAAAAAAGTTATTGGGTTGCCCGAACCCGCACATTCAAGCTCACCAGGCCCCCTTTAGTGTCACTAGCGTTTTCAAACGCAGAAGAAGATTCTGTTTCGCTGCCCTTTATTCAGCCAAGAATCACCGATAATTCATGTGATTCATGTATTATATTGTCTTCAAATGATCCTTATGTCCCTATCTCATTTATCAGTACATTGGACTAGTTTCTCATGCTCACGTGTAAAGCTACTTTATAAGATGCTTTTGGACTATCATTCTCCTCGTATAATTATTTTTGTAGAAAGTAGATGCTGCAATATTTTCTCACATGGTAGGGTAGGCAATATTTTGTTGACTTGCCTTTCTTTAATACACAAAAGCTTCAATATAATTATTCCTTAAAGCTGATGCCCATAATAGTTCTTATTCACATCAGGAGTACCTCAAGTCGTCTTTGGACACATAGTTAGCCCATATAAACATTTAAAAGTTAGGGGGCTTTACATTTCTAGTCAGATGGAGGTAACAACACTACTCTGAAGCAAAAAATAGAAAGTGACTTGGCAGCTGCTCAACTTTATGCAAACACATTTTAAACCTAATACTAACGTGTTCGTTTAAGCTGGTATTTTCTCTCATTTTGGTTTTCAGATTCTCGTTATAGTTACAGGATTACACTTTTTAAATATGCTTAGTGTCATTAAATCAAATCTTTGTGCAAGGATATAGGACACAAGTAGACAAATCAAATTTCTAGTTCTGTTCGGAGGAAAAATTGGAGGTAGAGGAAATGTTGATTCAGTCAATCCTGTTCATTAGAAGAGAAGCAACAAAGAGTAAGAAGGAAAAAAGATGGGCATTGCTAGTGATATATTGAATGCAGGGAAATATCATAGCAATGCAATGTCAACGTGGGTACAAGATTGAAGCTGAAGATGAAGACGCTGCATAAGCTGTTGTGGTATTCGAAGAATCGGTGTTGTCTCTGTTCACTGAATAATGACTGCAATATGTCGGCACAGGCATGTTTGGAGGGAGGGTGGGCAATGGAGCTTCAAAATTAAGGACATGAATTGCTTGCCTAATAGAAGGCCTGCATTTGCTATCTGGATGAGCACACCATAAACCAACAATTAGTAAGTGCTTCGTCTCCATTTCATTGAACTCTGATAAGAGTTTAGGATCAGCTGCTTCATTAAGATTTCCCATCCCGTAAAGGCTCCAAACCCAATCAACAAGTTTTACTTGATCTTCTTCAGCTTTAGGATCAATAGCTTTCCTTCCACAAGCTATTTCTAACGCGACAACTCCAAAGCTATAGACATCTGTTTCCTTGCTAGCTTTGCCAGTGATGAAACATTCCGGGGCCATGTAGCCCCTTGTACCTGCCAAAACTGTTGTTTGGGATCCTTTTTCATGGTCAACTAGTCTAGCTAAACCAAAATCCCCAAGTTTGGCATTGAAATTGGAATCCAACATAATATTGCTCGACTTTATGTCCCTATGCACCACACATTGTTCCCATTCTTCGTGTAGATACAGCAGCGTAGAGGCCAAGCCTTGAGCAATCTTGTATCTTATTGGCCATGTCAAATGGCTTTTTCCTTTGAAAAGATGGAAATCTAAGCTTCCATTAGGCATAAACTCATAGACAAGTAGAAGTTCTCTTTTCTCATGGCACCAGCCAATGAGTTGCACTAGATGTCTATGTCTTAGCCGGCTGATGATACTCACTTCTGATGCATACTCTTTTATTCCTTGCTTTGACTCCCTTGAAACCCTCTTAACAGCAACATAGGAATTCAATTCCCTGAGATATCCTTTATAAACACCTCCAAACCCACCCTCCCCGAGCTTATTTTCCTGCGCAAAGCTATTTGTACATCTAGCCAACTCTCTGTAAAGGAACTTCTTTGGTCCTGTGCTTCTTTCAAATTCATGAGTCATAGATCCATCAAAGATGTCATTGTCTTCATCTTCTCTCAACTTCCTCTTTCTCCAAAATGCAAACAGCATCAAAACACATACAAAAACCAAAACACAACCACCAGAAACCAATCCAACCACAAGTCCTAACTTGTTTTTACTCTGTGCATGCTCTGGCTTGGGTCTTGGTAAGACTACTCCTGGATTTGTTATGTTGTCGTTAACTTCTAATGAAGAAGTAAAGTTCCAAGAATAGATACTTTGTAATGCAAAGACAAGTCCAGCTCCACCTGTGAAGCCAAAAGTGACCCATTCAGGCAAGTATTCTCTCAGATCGAGATTGTGAGATAGGCTTTGCAGGACAGTGACAGTGGAATTATCTTTGAAACCGGTGAAGACAACAGTAAGATTTTTTGAAGTCGAGTTATAGCTAATCCAGGCATCAGTTCTCCTACCATTCGGAATGCTACTAAACCAGGTCACATTAACAACAGATTGCATAGAGTTGATATCAATACCTACATGATCACCCTTTGGGTCATACTGGACGTTCTGATACGTATCAAACTCCACAGCTACAAAATGATTGCTCGATGTATTCAGTCGTTGAGTATTACTTGTAAGGCCAAGACTGCCACCTCTAGTTGTGTTCTCTGGAGTTCTTGAACCTGCAGGCGCGAGGAAGAAGGCAAGACCATCACCATATCTTGTTCTGCCTTTTGAATTGATGCTAAAGGAGAAGTGAGTACTGAAATCTGTGACATTTCCAGAGGCCTTGTCCCAAAGATGCAGGGGCTTGGAATATGTGGCTCGACCTATGCTAGCGTTTACATGACGATTGATCAGGTCTATGGTAAGTTGAATTGCACCATCTGCTGGATAAGCATCTCTCTCGTATGTTACATTTTGATCGCTGGGTCTAAAACTATCAAAATTGAAGGACAGCGAAGTCGCAAAGGGGGTTATGATAAGAAGAAAAACAAGGTATTTGAGAGCAGATAAAGAGGCAAAAACAACCATAGTTGGATGATATGTTTATGAGTTTATCACATTGTTTGAAAACTGAATGTTTATGTACGTAGAACACGTTGCTTAGCTTTTGGTGCAACTCGGTAGAGTTGGGAGGCTTTTGTTGACTTCCTTAGTTCAAAGTCTTTTTTTGGATGTACTCTTTCCCAACAACAACGTACAAAAGGATTACGTATAGATGTTCATAACACGCAGCGAAAGACAATAACAATCCTAGGCAGATCTTTTCGTCTTTAAAATTTATTTACATATCAATAGATCGGATCTAAGATGTACCTGGTGAAAGAAAGTCTCGTTTCAAATTTTTCGATAGTGCGAAGATTCTATGCGTATCTCTTTGATCAACGAAACCCGCAAACAAATTGAACGAAGAATATTGTATTGAAATTTTTCTCAAAAATCTCAACTCAATGTTAGAAGAACAAGAAACACTTTTCTTGTAATTGTATTTTCTCTCTTGGCTTTGTATTATACTCTCACTTTCACAAAGTGTTTTTCTTCTCAAGAATCAATAATGCAAATTTTTCTCCATCACCCTTTATATAACATCACCTAAAACCTTTCCCATTGATTGAGGTAATGATTTACTTAGGGTAAAAGTTTATTCGAAAATTAAACTTTATGGAACAATTAAGTAAAAATTTGCAGTCCCATTATAAATTGGTTGCTGCCAGTCAACGTCCTTCATGGACGATGTGTTGGGATATATATTCTATTAACCATGGATTTTGGTTTGGATATAGTATTTATTATGGAATAATTATTTATTTAAGTTTAACAAAATTTTAAATAGATTATATATTCGTTTGTGTCTGTTACTTATATAGTAGATGATTTATTGTATAGAGTTTAGCTTATACACGGAAGATTAAATCATCGGTTCTTATAAGTATAAAGATCATATTCACAATCTAGTGATGAAATTAAGGTTGTATTGTGGTCCGGGCCCAGGCCTAAATGGGCCAAAAGGGCCTGGGCTTAGGCGGGCCGGGCTGAGGCGGTCCTGCCAAATGAGTGGAACCGGCCCACTGCGGTCCTAAGCCCACATGGTCCCGGGCTAAATGGGCCGGGCCCGCGGGCCTAAACGTGCATTTCTCGTTCCGGGTTATTTTTTTAATTTTTTTTATCTAAGGCAATTTCTTGTAAACTATATATGTATATACTAATATAAATTGCTTATATATAGCTATATAGCTATATATAGTATATATAGTATGTATATATAATTATATATTGCTTTATATAATATATATTATATTAAAAGTACGAAGGCCCTTAGTGAAATCTCGTTCGCCTTTTTTACCCTTTAAAAATAGAGCTCACACTAAGACAAAATAGTCATTTTATTATTTTTTTCTAAAATTTAGGATTCTAAAATCAACANTAAAATCAACTAAAATTATTGTTATTAATTATTTCCTTATATAAACAATGTAAAAAATTCTAATATTTAGGACTTTAAAAAAATATAATTTAGTACTTACATAGGTGTGCAAGCGTTTACATATTTAAGGAAAATTACTAACGAAGCATTAAAATACTAAACTTCTTTTTGAAAACTTTTGAGCAAATAAAATTTATTTCCTTAAGACTATGAGAACATAATATAGTTACGTAATATTTGACAAGTCAGTATATTATTTTATTCTATTTGATCTATTAAAGCAAATGCACAACTTATATATCGAAGTTATGTAAAGGCATTAGAATACCTTTGCAAAATATAATTATTTTCTTTATTAAGTTAGCTAAATTGGATCAATAGTCTTTATTGGGCTTTTATTTTATAACTCATCACATAGTTTAATAATTTTTGTGCAATTTTTTCAAATTTTATATTTGTTAATATAAAAAACACACACTAGATAAAATAGTCATTTAATTCTTTTCCTAATATTTAGGACCTAGAAATTCATTAATATTTGGTTATTATATCTTTCTTTATTTAAACTAGATACCTAAAATTTAGGACTTTAAAATCAATTAAAATTTTACCTTAAATAAATATTTAAAAAGTCAATTTGGAACAGTAGTACAAAATCTAGAGATGCTCGTCTGAAGTCGGTTATACATGGCAAGTGACAAATGAAATCCTAATGGTACTCAAATTGTATTCACGGTAAACAAAATATTTTTTTAACATCAATAATTAATTTTTTTTTGTTGTTGAAGAATTTACTTTATTTTGTATTTGCAATAAATTACATTAATGTATTTTAATCATGTGGTAAATAGTGTGAGACTAAATTGAAAACTACTAAATATATAGGAAAATAATGTTTCGGTTTTTATTTTATCTTCTTCAATCAATCTAGACTATTATAAAAGCTCGAAACTTTAACGCGAAATTGATCAAATTTTTTTCATTTAAAAATAAATTTTATATTTGACAAAATTATTGTTTAATTAATATTTTTTAATAGTTAGGACGTTGAAATTAACTAAAACTTTGACTATTAAATATTTTACTTATTTGAACTATATAGGAGCTCCTAATATTTAGAAATGTCATCCCAGTAAGATTACTTAAATAAATTGAGTAAGTCCATTTTTCACAAGAACTCATAATTTTAGGATTTGTTATTTCACCCCGAACAATAATATTATAGGTGACATTAAAGTGTTCTACTTTAAGATACCAAGAGACTAAAATTTAAAACAAATTGCACAAAAATCATACTCAGAAACTCACGATTATTTTCAGATTACTAAAATTTTAAAGATTTAAGGTTGATAATGTTAGAAATGTTAGCTATTTCAAGCTATTCTTTTTTAAGAAAATATTAATAAAATATTTTTCAAAAGTGTTGTCATAGAGTTTCGTAGTTTCTCATGGTGTTGATACGTGGCTACTGATATTATCCATCACTATTGAGCTAAAGAAAGTAACAATGTTTATTAGCATGTATAATCCCTTTATCATCATAATGATCCNAAACAAAAAATAAATTGCAAAGAAATATTCAAGGGAATGTCTTATAATTTTTATTATTACGACAACAACAAAAAATGGCAATATCTTTCTTAGACTTCCTTCCCCCAATGGAATGAGCACAACAAGATACTAATACCACCATTAAAAGGAAAAAAAACTAAGGAAGATGTGCCAAAATACAAGTTACATATTAGTCTATGTATTATCTCTAACAAATCTCATAAATCCTTCAAGGTCCGGAGGAATTTCCGTTGGTGGTGGTGGAAAAAAAACTTGGTCATCACCACTTCCGGGCGAAGCAACATCCTGCGCAAGTTCTGCTAGCATTTATTCATAAGCTTCGTCTATCTCCGGTTGTGATTTTGCAAGTCCAAAATTTCTTCTTTCCGAATGGAACCAATCTCTGAAAAGTACTGATATTTCCAAGCTCTCCCTCATAGATGCTCTATGATCACCGATTTGAAGTCTCGCTTGAATGAAAGCGCTCTCCGATGCCACTATTGAAACTTAAACACTTAAAATATCTCAAGCCATCCTTGAAAGAACCAGATAGTGTTTTTGTTTGTCCTTCCACCATTCCAAAACATCGAAGGAGCCGTCGGGATTCTCTGATTCAAGTCCCTGTGACAAATAAACTTAAGCTCATTTAGTTGTGAACTATCACCAATATTATCACCTTGAGAACCCCGGAACTCCGTCCAAGAACTAAGGGTTTTTAGGTCCGCAGTTCTTTTAGATGATTGCGAACTAGATGAAGTAGGAGTTGGAATATTTGGTCTAGCATGATCTAGGGCAAGTTGATAAGCATTATAAATTGTTTGAGCGTTTATTTTAATTGAGGCTTTTGCATCTCCAAGTATTAGCAAATTCCTCAGCTGAAAGTAATAAAGCGTTATAAATTTTTGAGCACCAAAAGTGAGGACCTCCTAATTTCATTGTAGGAGATAACACTGCAGCAACACCAAAAATAGGGGGATAGAGAAAAAATATTTTTTAAACTTAGCTTTCTTGTTGATAAATTACCCCACCCTCTGGAAATTGAGTAAATAAATCTGCAAGTGCTGCAATATAAACTAAACAGTTAGAAATAGTAGGATAATATTGCCCAGATAATTCATCTGTAGCAACATGAAATTGTTCTAAAAAGTCTACAAGCATTTTAACATTAGTCCAATTTTGATTTGTAAGGTGCTCATCATCACCTACACGAGCATTATATGTTGCACTTATTGGGTTTCTATATTCATATGCAACAACTAAACTTTCATACATGTAATTCCATCTAGTCGGACAAGGTTTAGGAACCTTTCTTTCTCTAAGGCCAAATTCATCACATTTTTTAAAATAGTCTCTAAGTCTACTTCTACGGTTTGAATAAAAAAGCCAATTAAGAGCCATTTTAACCTTTTCAATTTCTACATTTAAAACTTTCATACCAGCACCGACGATTAAATGGTAAATATGACAAATACATCTAACATGAAAAATATTACTAAATGCAGGATTTAGTGTAGTTGTAAGCAAGCCTATAGCATTAGTGTTACTAGAAGCATTATCCATTGAAACCGACATTATTTATCTCTAATGCAAAAATATCTACAAATATCTGCAACTGTTTTAACAATAAACTTACATGTGTGGCGTGAATTAATTATTCTATAAGCAATAATGTGATTTTGCATTATCCACTCCTCATCTATCCAATGACTTGTAACAGTTACATAATTACAGTCATTACCACTTCTACCAATATCAGTAGTAATAGCAATGCGACAATCTATATGAGTAAATAAATAGCGCAAATATTGTTCATATTCATATTTATATTTATAAATATAACTTTTTACGGTTGCGCGAGGCCATCCTTTATAAGTAGGATTAAAAATTCTTCTAATATAATGCACAAAATGAAAGTTAGAAGGAAAACTATAGGGTAAGCACATAACAATAACCATTTTTGCCAACTCTTCACGATCTTTATTTGGATCATAATATAAAATGTCACCGGTAACAGTGTTAATTCCCAGTTGAACTAAATTTGAACCTGTACTAAGATTAACCGTAGTATCTACACTTGTCCCCTCTTGCGCAGCTTTCATTTGTAAATATCTAACTTTATCTCTAGGGTGTTTCAATTTGTATCTAGTCAAACTACCCATACCGCTACGGTCTCCAGTATATTTATGAGCCATCAAAGACCCACAAGTTTTACACTTAGCCTTATTTTGTTCTCTTAGTTGAGTAAAAAAGTGCCAAACAAGAGATGTTTCGGGCCGCTTAGAAGGTTTTCTATTAAAAGTAGGGGTTACTACAGGAGGGTCAAGTGGGGAATCAGTTGGGTTATTAACAGGACTAGTAGGTGTATCATCTAAATCCGGTTGCGTTTCATTTTCTTCATCATTTTCAAGGATAGTTTGATTAGGATAAAGAACATTCATAACTTCTTCATTTAATTGTTGACCTGGTGCAATATCATGGCAAAATTGACTATCAGAAAATTGAAAATAAGGGTTATTACTAT